TAGATCATACCTCTCTTGATTGGAGTTAAGACCATCTGATCAACCTTCCCCACTAGCGCCTCCATTGATTTTCTTTGTACACATCCAAACAACCTTAAATGGTTTTCTACCATCATTTTTTCAATAGATGCCACTCTAAATCTTTCTTGTATGTGACCATTACAAATATTATTTTTTTCCTTATATGACCACACTTAGATTCTTTATATTAACTATGCTTAAAAATAGTTTACTTCACCAAAATAGCTTAAACCATTTGGATAAACACATCCCTAATTTTATATTTTCCTAATATATTTTCTAATTTCTAAATGTGGGACTTCTTTATCACTAATATTCCCTCTACTCCTTTTTCATCTCGCTTTTATTTTTATTTTCTTCTTCTTCTTCTCAATTGGGATTGTACTTTTTATCATCATCTTCTTCTCTCTTTTCTTTTTAGTCTCTTGTTTTTTCTTCATCTTCCATTCTTTCTTTCTTTTCACGATTTCTTTCTTTATAGGGAAGTCCTTTGATTCACCTTTCAATATTCTTACACTAGTTGTTGCTCCCTCATACACATCTTGTATAATTTTAATCTATGCAACATGAACCCCATTCTTTTCCAAGGCTTTCCAAAACACTTCTCTTGATACTGGTCATAAGCTTTTTCCAAGTCAATGAAAACCATATGTAGGTCTCTTCTTTTGCTTTGTTATCTTTCCATTAACCCCTTAGTAGATAGATTGCTTATGTAGATACAAATTATTGTATGCTTAATCACTTTTTCCCACAATTTCATCATATGGGTCATAAGTTTTATCCTTCTATCATTTGCACAATCTTGAATATCTCCTTTATCCTTATATAAAGCAACTAAAGTACTTCTCCTCCATTCATTGGGCATTTTCTTGGACCTTAAAATCCCATTAAATAGCTTAGTTAGCCAAAGTTCATCCTCTTCCCCTAAACACTTACATACTTCAATAGGGATACCATCATCTACAGGGACCCTTATTAGTGTCACTTCCCTAGTTTTCACAAGGCACTTACATTATAAAAAATAAATAAGAAGTGTCATAATTATGTGCTTCTATCTCACGAGGTAAATATGCATCATCTCAAAGCGAACCCCACTTAAGCAATAGTGTAAAAGAGATGACATTTACTTTAATTTGCAAGAATCAGCCACATTTGGATCAAATGAAAATGCATACTGGCGGAGAAGTTCAAGAAAGAGCCTATAGGCCTCAGGTTGACGATGTCGATGAGGAATTATCCTGAAATAAGATGTCAGATTAATAAAGGAAGCAATCTCGCAGAAGCATCAGAAATGAATAACTTAACAAAATGTAGACTACCAAAGACACACAGAGAGGAGAAGGGGAGACGGAAACAGGAATCTAAAATATTGACCAAAAATTTGCAATACCAGATACACACATAAACTGAATAACATGATAATAAACCAAGCAACAGGAAATAAAAGCAGGGATTTTATGTATAATACATGTGAGGATAACAGATACATATCAGCTAAATGTCGTGACAAAAAAGAATGCAACACCTGAAGCTTGAATAGCAGGCTTTCAAGTCAAGCCTGGCTAATATGTTTTACAAGTTGTAACTTCCAATTCAGTACTGCTGCAGCACTGCTTGCGCATCATGACCAGAAACGTTGAGAGATATACATTTAATGTGCTTATGCTATTACAAGAGACGAGGTAAGAGAAAGCAAAACTGTAATGCAGGAATTCAGGAGATTTAAGCTGAACCCCCACAAGCAAACCTCGCTTACACAATGAAAATCAAACAATGTAAAATAGATATTAAAAAAAAATAGAAACGGGAGAACCTAGAAGAAAGAAGTGAGAGGACTTGAAGCGGGAAGAGGAGACGGGAGGAAAGGGCTTGGTGAAGGAACTTCCACAAAGAGGGGTGGTTGTAATCGAAGCAGAGATGAGAGACCAACAGCTCCGCCAACTCAGGGCTTGGCAACCGCACATTCAAAGAGCTAAGACATTCGATCAATTCCATTACCCCATACAAAGGAGGTTCTTTTCGTTGCAGGAACAACTTCACCCTTTCGAAAACTTTTTCCTTCACTTCATTCCACTCAAATTCGCAATCCGACCCCATTATATTCTACTCAGGGCTCACTATCAACCTGTAAAATGCAACATTTGAGCTCATCATTCTCACTCATTAGTAGGGCCAACTATCCGCAGGCACACAAAAAAAAAAAAAAAAAAAATTAATCGGGACTGGTGGTTGGCGCTTGCACTAGAATAATGCGCTCGCCCATCCGACAACCCTCATGGTGGTAGGTGACACCGACACCGTGGCGGGCGACATGCTCCTATATTAAAATTTATAATTTATAATTGAAATTTTCAATATTAAAAAATATAAAATATTTTTAATTAAATATCAGCATTTAATAAATAAAATAGTAACTAATTTTTAAATTAATATTATTTTTTATATTTGTCTTACTTCATAAAATATTTTACTTTAAAATAAATATAAAATAATTTATTTATTTTAAACATTTTTAAAAAACATAAATATAAAGAAGAATGTTAAATCATGTATTTTAATAATTACAAAATTAAGAAAATAAATGTTTGTTATGTGTACAGATATATAAAAAATATGGATAAAAATAAAATCTCAAGAACATGAAAAATTAAGAAAAAATGAAGATTTATATAATAAGTTATTTAATTCTTTTAAATTCAATGAAAAAACTTTAAGAGCTTAATCAAATGTTGTTATTTTTTAAATGAATGTATAATTTTCAACTCATAAATCTTATTTGTGCACCTCATGACTCATTTTAGTATATTTAAACTTGCATTTTGAAACACTAAAAATGTTTTATGTTTTTTAACAACCAAATCCTCAAAAATACCTTATATTTTTCAAGAGAGATAGTAAAATTGTTCTACATATCCTTAATTCCTTATAATTTTCTACTCCTTATACTATAAAAAAATTATATCTACCAATTAAAATTAATTTGTAAATAGAATCCTACTTGTCTTCACATATAAGTTAAATAATGGAAGATGATCAAAGATTGATATGTTAAACAATGGAAGTGACCACCTAAGACTTATGAGAATTAAACCAAAACAATATGCAAGAGAATATGCTTCTAAAAATTATGTTAAATTCATATTCAAATTTAGCTTTCTCACCTGAGACAACTCCAATATGCAATATGAAGTATTGTTGTCTTGAAATACTAGGGACAATATTATTTTAATTTCTAAAGGATGGCAACAAAAGTCTAAAGTAAAATTTAATTGAATTATCTTACTTTATCACACATTTAATAATTTTGATTTTGAAGATAATAAAATAATACTACTAAGATGGATCAAATGTAAAGACTAACTATTATTAATTTTGAGAGTAGAGAATTTGAACTACATGAAATTAAAATCTAAATATTCAAGATAACAAAATTTTAAATCGTAAATTAAGTTCCTCTTAATATGTTACTTGAACGTGACCCACCAATCTAATATTACCTCCTCTTCTATAATTTGATATGTGAGGAAATATTATCTCATCTTCTATAACTTGTTATGTTTTTTTTTCCTTTTGGATTTTCAGTAAACATGGATTTCCTTTCCAATATACAGTTTGGAGATTTTTACTTATAGGGGTCTAGATGACAATTATTGTCTCTACTCTTTGGCAAGGAGTTAAGAAAGCACAAATTATACCAACTTCACTATACATGTCTGGCATAAAATACATATATACAATAAAGCAAAAAATAGTTGAGAAGTGGGGGAATTATTATGCCTGAAATTCATATGTTAGGTTCAGAGTTAAATTATAATTAAGAATTAAAATTAATTTTACAAACCAGATTGAGATGTGGGGAGGTTATTTTGCTTGAAATTTTTTAAAATTTTTAAAATTGAATTTTAAAGTTGTGAATTTGTTGAGAAGTTATGTCAATGGATAAATCATGGAATGGGAGAGAATGCTTAGGAATAAGGAATTGTCCATTCTGGTAACTTTCTTGTTATAAATTTAAAAACTAAATCAATATATCTAAATTATAAATAACCTATTCACATGTTACATTTTAATTATGATTATGAATTAACATTAATGTCATGAATAAATTCGGGGTGATGAAAGTATGATATTTGAAACTTTTTAAGATTTTTAAAGTTAAAATTTAAAATTGTGAATTAGTTGAGAAATAAGAAGTTATGGTGGAGACTTTATATTATGCAAGAGGATATTCCTGGATAAGGAAAAAACAGTGTTTTGCCCATTTTAGAGATGATATTATTTTTTAAAAAAATTAGAAATTAATAGTAATGTGGTAGTCTAATATCGTAATATTTTAATTTTTTGAAATTATAAAACAGTTCTTGCTATTTTGGGTGAAATATACACGATTTATTCAACTCCACATTTAGGAAGAGAAATAATTAATTAACAATTATTTGAGGGTTCAATTAAAATAAATAAATTACAATAATTTCGTTTGAAATTTATAGAAATTATGATGACTTGCCGATATATTTTTCTTTATAATTTATAGCTTTAGAATATATTCACTCCATAATAATAAATTATTTTTAATTATCTTATCAAAAAGATTACATTAATAAAAATTTTAAAGTCACTTGGTTTTTCATATTTCCTCTTAATAAATGTCATAAATTCAATAAACATATTCCTTCTTTCTCTGATCAGTAGTCTTCCGATCTGCATTATCCCAAAATATAGGTCCAAGTACAGATTATTAGATGTAATTAAAGCATATTTCCCAAAATACTCCTTAGGTAATATATCCTACTCTTCAAAGTTTAAAATATTTAAACGTTGTAGCATTTAATTGAGGGAAGTAATGAAAAGAAAAATCAAATTTACGTCACATTGATTTCAATATTTACTTGTTATGTTTTATAACAAGGAATGAAGGACGCATAATACTATCGCATTTTTTTTCTTCTCATTACAAATTGATAGTAGGAGAAAGATCATGCCATGAAAACATTTTAAACTTCATATCTATTCACAAAACTTACAAGCGTTGCAAGAACATGGAAAGTTGACAGGAGGATAAGCATGACACTAATGAAGGCAAGGAAAATCTTTGTAAGTCTCCAGCTTATGCAGACCAGCTGACGAGTGATCACCCCAAAAGAATACAGAATCAGCCATAAATTTCATCAAAAGTAACCGTCAAGGCATTAATACTGCATAGTAAATACCTAGAAAAAACACCACCATCTTCTGCTTCTATCCTCCCCATGGTTGGGTGAGGCAGAAACATGAACCTGATGCTGATTTTGGCCCTGTAAGTTGTGGCAGTCCAGCTGTCTACTACCTTCAATTAAAGGGTTGCCTAACCATAAGACAATAACAATACCCACAAGACTAACAATTGGAGCAGCAGCAAGGAAAAACCATCTTCCTCTACCGCCACTTGCTACAGAAGGATTATCTAAAGGAACCATGTTCACGAGCTCGCTTTGCTGCAATCCACCTTGTTCAGTACCATCCTCTTCATTAGCTTCAGCTCCATCAAAAGAATTACCACTCATCACATCTAGCTGCTGCACTTCATGGATCTCATTTCTAATGTTGATATTGCACTTTCCATCCTCATAATCCTTATCATCTGTTGGGAGCTCATAACGACAAAGGGGGCATGAATTTCGTGCACTCAACCATGGCAAAATGCAGCAAGCATGAAAAAGGTGAGAGCAGGGAAGTTGATTTACTTCAGTGCCTGTGGCCAAAGCATCCTTGCAAATGGCACATGCAAGTTCATCATACTTCTCATGTTCTTTGCTTATAACAATACGGGGCAGACTACGTACAAAAGACACTGCTGCAGGAGGTGCTCCTCGTCTTGAGTTGTCATTCCCAGCAAGGTGCTCAAGTAGATCTTCAAATTGTCTAGCATCAAGATAATCCCCAAAAGTTGTACCAAAAGGAGGTGAACGTGCCTCCTCCAAGTAATTGGAGCTGTGATCAGTGTAAGTTTGCCCTCTATCCCTAACTCTGCTGCTTAATACTTCCTCAGACTCAGGAAAATGAAACTGTGGGTCCCAATTAATGGGGCCACTTGTCTCACTTGGGCTTGAGGTAAAAAATATTTGAAGGCGGGCAGTGGCTTCAGCTTCCTCAGCCCCAGCAACTTCCCATTCTCTTTCCTCCTCCTCCTCCTCCTCCTCCTCCTCCTCCTCCTCCATATCATCAGAATTCCAATGGCTAAGGGCAGCATGCATTGGATCTATATCAGTGTCACTGTCAAACTCATCTCCCTCATCTTGTAAATTTAAGATTCCTGTACCTACAAGACTATATCTATCCATAGACACTTCAGAGTCACCTCCATAAGCACTGAAAGAGAAGGAATCAACCTCGCCATTGGGGACTCTGTAGCGCCTAACACTTGCATTTGATTCATTCTCACCATAAAGAGAACTCCAATTATCAAAGCCATCACTATCGGTATCAGATAAAACCCGCCTCCATCTTAGAGACTCACTAGGGGTAGTATGGGTACTGGCACGCTGCAATAACCAAAAGGGGGTATCACCATCAACAAGCAAATCATCCTCCTCAGACGCAAAGGATTGATTTTGTCTCACAGAATTAGCCATGCTGGGGAGCTGATATGACAAACCATTCTCAATTGATTCAGAACTGCTGTACCTGGATCCTCCCCTATGCAATGTTTGACGGTTTTGGTAATGGGTCCCAAAATCTTCAAGTAATAAAAATTTACAATCACCACATACACCAATGGGTGCAAGATCATTCGTTATCTCAATATCACGTGATAGGACCCTTTGGCAGAGAGCACATAATGCAGTCTGGGAAGGATGGTCAAATAGCAGGGCAGTGTCCTCAAAAACCTGAGAATTAGACTGATTTAATGCAGATGAAGTGCCCTCAGAATCTGCAGACATCTAAAACCAAACCAAGCAATCGATGATTGAAGATAGTAACACATGGTCAACAGGATATAATTGTAGGGAGAAAATGAGATTGGGTTAACGGCAGGGCATTGAAATTTAGCCTCAATGAGTCGTAATCCTTAGTACCGTGATCAATCTATAGTTTTACACATGAAGTCACACAATATAACTATTTAATAGAAGAACGGGAGTTAAATTCACAGAGATGCAATTAGATGTTTAGATGTTTAGATTCAAGATCAAATGTCATGACAAGCACGGGAGAATGGGCTTTTGCACGTTCAGTACTCAGCTCCTTCTGATTTGTCATTTGTCTCTAATTACATGCATGCATAACAAGACATTCTCGATACCAAATTGATTGCAGGAAAGAAAAATAACAGAAATACAAATGATGCAGAAGCTCACTAGAGTTTTATAATTGAGGAGCTTTATATTAGAAAGGTAAGACAAAACAAACAACAACAACAACAAGCCTTACCCCGGGGGGGGGGGGGTAAGATAAAACAGAATATACGAAAAATACGAGGGGATTGAATGCACCAAGGTAGAGTACAATAATTTGAAAAAGTAAAGTGTGTTGATCTAATTGCATGGAATATCATACAAACATTAACCAAAACAACCTTTAAGGAACCCAATGATAAAAAAAATTACCCAGACCATGGAGTGTTTTCATCAAGGGTTAGATAGCAGTATGGTTAAAAGGAAAAAACATGATAATCGGAACAATGATACGCAAAGCACAAATGTTTCTCAAGAATCAGAGCACAAAAGTCAGGTCTTCAGTTCAATTGAAGTTTTTGACCAATTAAGAAATTTGTAATCTTGAGATCGTTACCTTAGGAAGACGGTGAAGGCGACCAGCAGAATAAGTAGCTCGCAAAAATGACAAGAGTCAGCAGGTTTGGATCTTGAAAGATTTGACAACCACGCAGAAGTTGAATCCAGAAAGTGCAACGAAACTAGGGTCAAATTTGGGGCACTAAGACTTAACAGAGAACTCGTTAAGTGAGATGAGTTCCCCTTTTTAGATTCGGTGAAATATTAGATGACGAAAACTGAGAATGCTGAGGAGGAGGGACGTGCCCTACCAGACCCTCATCCCAGGACTTGGTCTCGTCAAGCCCACGCTGCACACCCCAGAGCAGACTCGCTATTCATGAATCATGATGTTCTGCCAAAGTTTCAGCTTTCCTTCCTTGTTCCTTCACCGTCATATCCAAATATACAAAAATTAGATTAATATTTTCCATCTGCCCCAACACGGAGGTAACAAAGTGACAATTATACCAGAAACACAATAAAACATATATATAGTTTACCCAAAAGAAAAATAATCCTTGTGTGTTTGTTCAGAAAAGTTATTTGTTTTTTATCAAAAGAAAAATGTTATTTATTTTAGGATTGTGGTGTTTTTCCTTTCCAGCTGTTTTTTTATTGGTCCTCGCATTATTGAAATACATCTACAAAAATTTGAAATACATCTTTTTATTATCAAATACCAACGCACGCGAGCTGATATGGAAGGGATCTGAATTCATTTGGGGCATGACTCAGCTTGAATTTAAATTAGTCAAAGCTGTGATTTTAGATATTGAGTGGTTTGCTAAAAAAGAAATACATTTTATTAATGTTTCTTTGCTATATCAATTATTCTCCATCAATCTATCAGAAATTCTGATATATTTTGTTCGTTCACAATTCACATTCTTCCTTTATGTTCACTCACTCATCTTTTAATATGTTCTATTATGCAGTTATGCCTTCAGTACATGTCACTGAATTTTTCATTGCCGGTTGTTTATGTAAGGTTTTAAATGAGGCGTTACTTTTGTTTCGTATTAAACATCAGTTTCTTTGTTTGGCCAAAAAAGAGAGACGGGTCATACCGCAAATGCATGCAGTTGGAGTTTTTCAAAAGGACGCTAATGCAATAACTAATGTAAGATATTATTGACTAAATTGTGCTATTTTATGTGATTAAGAGGTGCTTATTATGCTAAATGGTTAGTTTTAGAAGGATAAAAATAGTTTTATTCTTCTTCAAGTATTAATCCCTAAATTTCTGAAGTTCATGTAACAAGACGAGATTTTAGTATTTAAATGCAATCTGATTCTTGGTTCTTACTTGCTAACTTCAATGTTTGAGGTATCTAAAATTTGATCGAGAAGGATGTAAAGGAACTAATACAGAGAGAAATAATAAAAAATCATCAACAATTGCTTTAAGTCCCGTTTAGTTGAGGGGAGGGGAGGGGCTCCTCTTCCCTCCCCTCATTTGGTTAGGAAGAGGGGAGGGGAAATTTTTAAAATTTTCCCTCCCCTCCCCTCCAAAGCCTCCCCTCCAAATTGGGGGGGAGCTCCCCTCCCCTCCCTTTCCCCTCCTCCCCCTCCCCTTCCCTTCCCTCCTCTTCCCTCACCTCTCCTCCCCTTCCCTCCTCTCGAACCAAACAGACTTTTAAGGGTATGTTATAGGTTCAAAAGATGTTTTTTTTTTGCTGACCTTTTATTGTTGCTGTCTTTTTATATTGGATTGATCGTGCTAGGATATATTATTTAAGAAAATTTATTTTATTTAGATTTGTCATCTATTAAATGAGGCCAGTATTCGACAAGCCCACACTGCACACCCACTCGCCATTCATGAATCATGATGTTCTACCAAAGTTTCAGCTTTGTATTTATTAGATATCTTTAAGATGTCTATTAGTTATTATTTAATTCATCTATATGTTGTTAGCCCTTTATATTATAATTAATAATAATATAAAATGTTTTTTCCAGTCCCATTTATTTCTGAGAAAATTAGCGTAGTGGCTATAAAGTATATAGGCTCCAAAAATTCTGGACAGAGTTTATAAAAATTTGAAGTGTGGCCATTTTCAAATTTAGTTACAATGTGATATTTCTTATTTGCCCAACAAAAACTTCTCTCAGCAAATATCTAAAATTTTTGAAGCAATATATCCATAAGATAGAAAAAAAAAAGATCTCACATAACTCATCCATGATTCAAAATTCCATATTATATGCACCTAACAATTTCAAATTTTTTTAGATAACAATAACGCTTTGTAAAAAAAATTAAAATTCCACATTATTGAAAATTGATGTTTATTATTTGGTTGAAATTGACTTGACTTCTCGTTTTTGGTTTATGATAGTATATTATTGATATACTATTGTATATCACTGATAAATTATGTCAATGATAACTTACAAATATTGTTTAATCTTGTAGATATGGAAATGCTTAACCTTGTTATTTTTTGTGATGGAAAATGGGATTTGAACAACCATTATATGGATGGTTCATAATTTACAGATAGGAAAAATTTGTCTATCGTCGAGTTTATATAATCGTTACGTGGATGGTAGATCAAACTCAAAAATGGAAGAAAGTATATAACAGATATGGCTTACATATTAACGATATATAATAATACATCACCAATAGAAAGCACCTCAGTTGTATTCGACACACAAAAAATAAGAAAGCTCTCTATTCTCTTATTCTCTCAGTATAATTTTCTCTCTTCTCTCCTCCTCTCAATCTCTATTTTCATAACATGTTATCAACATAACAGCTCTACTCTAGGTATCGCTAGATGAGTACCCTTATAATTATTAGATTAGAGATTAATGCTCATGCCAATGACCACCTTTAATAAAGATAGAGGCACAGTTAGTTGAATATTGGGCAAATCTTTATCATTGATATACTCTTGTTATTTATGTTGTTATTGACTTTATTTTTTGTTCAATTATTTTTTCCCTCCCTTAATCAATCAAATAATTACATATTGTGTTTCACATCTAGAAGTATGAAGCACAATTTAGTTTTAAAATAATAGATCTATAAGTTATCCACATATAATATAAAGTGGATTATGAAGTTATCTGCATTTAATATACAATGAATCTTGCAGTTATTCACATAGAAAATATTAGATGGATCTAGAATATTATCACATATAGTATAAAGTTGATCCGGAAGATTACCACACAGAATATAAAGTAAATCCTGAAATTATTTTCCTATTATTATGGATACTGATTTTATCCAAATAAAATATAAAGTGGATCTTGAATATATCTACAGGATTTAAATGTGGATTTTAGATATTTACATTCGATTATTTATTTATCCTATGTGCATTCAATTTTTTATTTTTTATTTATTATTTATATATATAATTTGTTTAGCTATCTATAGATATGATTTTTAGAAAAATGGACATCCATAACACAAAATGGATCATAAAGTGATCCATATAAAATCCTGAAGTTATTCACATAAAAGATGATGTGGATCTTGAAGATATCCATAAAAATTTAAAGTAGACCTTAAAGCTATTCATAAATATAAAGTAGATCATGCATATCATGAAATTATTTATATTTAAAAATATATATATATATATATATATATATATAGTTTTTATTTTCTCTTATTTGGTTCTTTTTAATACTCTTGCAATAAAATTATTAATAGCCATATTATTTTGATTATGGCTTGAAACCATATCACTTTAAATTTTTACTATTTTATAAATGATCAACTTATGGTTATGATAAATTATATGACTAGAAGTCGTATTTAATTTTATTATTATATAGTTAAAAGCCATATTTAATTTTATTATCTTATGATTAAAAGTTGTATTTAACTTTATTATTGAATGGCCAGAAGCCATTTATAATTTTATTATTAGATTGCGATAAGTAATATGTGATTTTATGATTAAATAGCTAGAAGTCATGTTTGATTTATTTGTCATTATATGACCAAAAGTAATAGTCAATTTTGTTATTATATGACCAAAAGTCATTTCAATTTTTATTATGATTGTTATGTGAAAGGATAACCTTGTGATCCTAACTAATTATATAAAATTTGTGGAATTGGTATATTGATTATTAATTTAATTGTTTTAACTATCACAACCCTAAAAGCTAATAATTCAAAAGAAATTGTTGGGTTTAAAAGATTATTTTTTTTATAATCCTAAAGATTATAGTCAATAGAGTTTATATTATGAAAAATATGGCATGTAGCCATATAGGCACATCATCTATCATTTATTTATTGAACCGGACAAAAATGTCAAAGAATGATTATGCTGGTTTAAAGAAATATATTCACAAAGTGTTACAATCAAATATTCAATTATTATTGTGTTTACATATTGACGCAAGTGTTGATCTATAAATACTCATAAGAATGAGTAAGTTATTTTCCCCCTTCTATGCATATGCATATTTCAAATTTTAATACATATTTGATATTAAAATTATTTTTCTCATGGTATACGAAGATATATTTGATAACCCTCGTACATATTCAAGATATCATATATATGATGTATTTTTATTAATGATAAAGTTCCCAACTAAATTATCCATACATGTGTTAATAGTTGCAATTGAGATATATATCATATTTAGGATTGAAATAAAAGCACTCATTAGAGGCATGCAAGTCATACAATAAGTAGAGCAATGAAAATCATAAATATATAAAAATGATTATATATAGATAATTCTTATATATTACTTTGTTGAGTGAGCTCTTTTAAGAAAATTTCTAAATCATTTTAAGAGTTCTTGAAAATTAATTTTGGAGGAATTTTTGATGAAAATAATCTTAAAAAAGACTTTCTAGATACATGTACATATATTTTTTCAAAGTCTTAATAGTCAACTTATTTACTCTTAATTAAAATGGTAATATATAATAATCTTTATATTCAATGATGGTGAAATTTAGATGTGATTAGGTAATTATGATCAATATATAAGGAATAAAATATTTAAGATCGTCTTAATTATTGAAAATATCAATACTACAATGTTGATTGATTGAAAATGCTAAAAGAAATAGCAAGAGTTTCAGGGTATTTATAAAAAATTATGAACTTAGAACTACTTGTGTTTTGTTTCCTAAAAAACTTAATAGAAAATGCATTTACATAATATGTAAACAGGAGAATTACTAATCCTTTATTTTAAATGTTATTGTTTATGTATATCGGGTTGTACAAAATTGATAGTGTTTTTCAAAAAAATTTCATACTTATGAAGTAAAATTCATTTGTGATATGAAATTTACATGAGTTTCAAATAAGTTACTAAAGATTTTTATGATATTGGATGTCATATTAAGATTGTAACTAGAAGTTTACAATTTTAAAGTTTACTATTACTTTAGTTTTGTATACTAG